CAGTAATTATTAATGATGGTATTATAGTGTTCCTTTCAGCACCTTTTCAGATTTCAGGATGCCCCAGAGCACTTTCACTGCTCATTAATTATTTTTCAAAGAACACAGCACAAAATAAATGGTCAGAGGACTTGTTTTGAGTGTTCATTGAGAGATAAATATTGAGCAGGCAACAAGGATACCTCAGAACCATGGAACACCATGGTGGCTCAGTGGTTAGCACTGCTGCCTCATAGTGCCATGGCCCTGGGTTCAGTTCCAGCCTTGGGCAACTGTCTGTGTGGAGTTTGCACGTTCTCCCCATGTCTGCATGGGTTTCCTCTGGGTGCTCCAGTTTCCTCCCACAGTCCAAAGATGTGCAGGGTAGGTGGATTGGCCATGCTAAGTTGCCCATAGTACCCTGGGATGTTTAGGTTAGACATGGGGAAATCAGGGGAATGGGTCTGGGTGGGATGCTCTTTGGAGGGGTGGTGTGGACTTGTTGGGCCGAATGGCCTGTTTCTACACTAAGGATTCTATGAACATTTTACACCCACCTGAGAGTACAAACAGGGGCCTCAAATTAATGTCTCATCCCAAAGAATTGAATTAATGACAGTGCAGCAGTCCAATGGACTGTCCACCTAAATTTTGTTCTCAAGCTTCTAGATTGGAATTTGAAATCCGTTTCTGAGGGGTATCTGGTAGTTTCTGAGGTGTAGCTGGTCCCTTCTGAGAGGTACCTTGTACTTTCAGTTGAGTATTTAGGCTCTTCCTGAGGAGTACCTGGTACTATCTAAAGGGCATCTGGTACTTTCTGGGGGTGATGTAGTAACTTCTGAGGGGTATCTGGTACTTCAGAAGAGTAGTGAGATCAGAAAGACTGTAACATTTTCATTACAATGACATTAATAACATGAAGATATGCCTTGGGATGTCGTGTCATTATCGCAGTCAAATTGCATTAGTATGAAGCAAAACATATTAATGGACCAGAATTTGTTGTAAAAGACGAATGGCAATGTGAACTGGCCTCTACATCATTCATGTACAAATTAAAGCGACGCTTTATCTGAGTGCAAATGGAAAGGTTAGGCTCAAAAATCCAGAATCCAAGTAGCAGGTGAGTAGATGCGTGAGCTGTAGGTGGTTTGAGGGTTAGTCAAGTCTAGTTGTGACATCTAGTCAGGTGTTGAGAGGTGGGCAAGGATCATCGGATTGGATTGGGTTGGGGTAGTCAGCTTAGTGGGGTGATGGTCAAGTCAAATTGGAAGCTAGTCGAGTGGTAGGAAGTGGGCAGGGCCAGATTGGGTGTGTGGTAGAGTGATCAAGGTCATGCACTTGATCGTGGTAGTCAGGTTGGATCGAAAAGGTAATCAGGGTGTTGAGGGATAGTCAGAAAGTCTGGGGCTGTGGTCAGGTCATTGGGGATATTGTCAGGTCATGCCAAGTCAGAGAGGTAACTTTGGGGTCTTTTGGGGTCTACCTCACTCTGGATTGACAACAGTGCCTGATATGTTGAATGGAAGGATTTACCAACAGGAAGTTTTCTCAGCTCCAGTCTTTGTTCCACCCCATGACTTTATGCCAGGAGGTACATGGTATACAGATTAACCAAGGGGAGAGGTGAAGACTGTTGGATCTCCAAGCAACCCAAAATGCAGCTAGTGTTATACAGAGGGGACATGTCTTGTTTTTGCTCAAAGATACGGCATTGCAATGGAGTTCTTCCTTGGATGCTGTGCTCCTCATTTCTGGAGAAGCTGGGCTCAGAAGACCCTGCAAAAAATTCAGAGCAGTGTCTGACATGGAAAGGTGCAAGCAAAACAATAACCTAATGATGATTGCTAACTTTCAAACTTTGATTACTTAATTCCAATCAGTTCTTCTTGTAATCAGGGTCATCACTTTTGCTGCTATAAGCACTGTGACAATGTTTCATGCAAAAGAGTCACCATTTGATATCTTTCTGACATGTTTAGTGAGTGACATTTGTGTTGAAGAATATGCACTTTTATGTTTCACAGGCCAGTCTTCTCTTATTGATCAGTGCTTCAAACAGTGAATCACCTTTTGAGAACAAGCCTTTCACTCATCTTGTCCTTGCTTGTGCATTAGTGGTGCCTAATGTTCTGGCATTGGCAAAGGCATTATGGAAGACATCATTTGGATCATCTGATGCTCCTTCACTTAGTATTCTAGGAATGGTAAGAAATGGTAAATTCAATTTAAGAGCTTTCATGTTTTCTGGAAAAGAAGATTAAGGGGACAGCAGGGGTATGGTTGTAATTTCACTGGACTAGCAATCCAGAATCCCAGGCTAATGCCTTGAGGACTTGGGTGCAAATCGTGGCAAATGGTGGAATTTGAATTCAATAAAATCCAGAATGAAAAGTAAAATAACTCCACAGAGGCCGGTATCCTGTCACCAAGTTAGTCTTTATTTAAGCATGGAGAGTCCTTGACATTGATCCGGCTTCCTTAGAGCCAGCTGTCAGAGTGAAACCATTATTGGACTGTGCAGAACCTCTGACATGCCTAATCTTATCTAACAGCCCCAATCAGGAAACTCATACTCTGTGAGGTCTACCTGGCTGACCTTGTTACAATCACTACAAAGAGTTGCCCAACTGATGATCGATAACTGTTGATTGTTGTAAAATGTTTTTTAGAGAAAGTAATCTGCCATCCTTGCCTGGACAGCACGTAACTGCAGACCCAAGGCAATGTAGTTAACTCTTATATGCTCTCTGGGCAATTAGAGATGGCCTAGTCGGCAACACCCACATCCCACAAACAAATAAAAAATACTTGGGAGAGGAGCTAATGTTATGACGGTCGCATAATTTGGGGGCAGAACTGATCCATCAGTTGCTTTGCACAGTTTTGTTCCTGTCTCTGTGAAAATGTCGGAAAAAATTTAGACATTATCTTGAATACAGACAGAATATAGACATATTACCGATGCAACTTTAAGGGCTTAATCACTGTAAGAGCTTCTGTACTCTCAAAATATAATTTTAATGTCTCTAAGTTATGTAAATGTTTTTGTGCCTTTCGATGATGAATTGACAAGGAATTGACACAAACCAGAAGCTCTTGGGAAATGGTAAATGCTGACAAATCTGATTATCTGAGAACAAATCTGCAAAATTTGAAAAGGGACAACTTTAAACCTTAGTGCAGTAAGTTCATCCAAGTGTACTGTTTTTGAAGGAGTGTAACAGAGCTTTATCATACTTATTATTATCCTGGCTTATTATGGTCCAATGCCAAACAATACTCCTAATCAACACGTTTTCCTTTTCACCTATCATGCCAACTCACTTAATATCCACCGTGGCAGATCTCAGAACACATGTATAGGTGTGAAAAAAACAGATCTATTTGGTGCATTGCATTGCATATTTTAATATTGAGAAAAAAAATCTCATTAATTAAACACATTTAAATTAGTTCACCTCAATAAAATCTTATAAAACATTTCAAATCTTCCATGCATTGAAATTCATAGTCTAGTAACAAAAGTTACTTATTATTTTGGAATTGTTTTTAGCTAACTTTACAAAGTTATTTCTCAAAAGGCAGTTAGTAAACAAAAAAGCAGAAAGAGAAAAGATGAATCGAACATTGCATTTGTGATTTATTAAATATCACAAGTAGTTCTCATAACCTGGCCTTAATTTTTGTTTCCTGGTTGGGTTCACAGAGATGGGAGAACCGCTAGCTCTATGAACGTGACTTTTGAATATAGGTGCCTGCTGTATGGGGAGGCAGTAGCCTAGTGGTATTATAACTCTACTATTAATCCAGAGATCTAGGTTCTCAGGACCTGTGTTCAAATCCTGCAATGGTAGATGGTCGAAGTTGAATTCATTCATGAAGCCATTATTGGAGGAAAAACACAGTAGGGCGGCACGGTGGCTCAGTGGTTAGCACTGCTGCCTCACAGTGCCAGAGACCCGGGCTTGATTCCAGCCTCCGGTAATTGTGTGGAGTTTGCACATTCTCCCTGTGTCTGCATGGGTTTTCCTCTGGGTGCTCCGGTTTCCTCCCACAGTCCAAAGATGTGCCGGCTAGGTGAATTGGCCACGTGAAATTGCCCATAGTGTTCAGGGATGTGTAGATTAGGTGGGCTGATAGGGGAATGGGCCTGAGTGGGATGCTCCGTAGGTCGGTGTGGACTTGTTGGGCCGAAGGGCCTGTTTCCACACTGTAGGGATTCGATTCGATTCTATTCTGTGATCTGATTCACTAATATCCTTTAGGGAGGAAACTCGTGTCTTTACCTGGTTTGGCACATGTGTGACTCCAGACTGACACCAATGTGGTTGACTTCCAACTGCACTTTCACCAATTAGAGATGGGCAATAAATACTGGCCAAGCCAACAATGCTCAAATCCTCTAAATGAATAAAAAATAAGCTAGGGTAGGAGTTAAGGCTGACAATCCCAGAAGACCTGAGGAGGATTTTCAATGAGAAGGCAAAATAGGTGGAAAGCCTGCCTTGGGGCCCTGTCATTGTGTGTAAAGCTTAAAGGAATAATGCAGAAAACATGTCTTCACCCCTCCTGACCAATCTGAACCTCCCATATCTCTCACTCACACACTCACACACTCACACACTCACACTTCCCATCCCACATTCACTGTATATCTTACCACCTTGCTTTTTATGGTCCCATACCATATCAAACCATACTCATAATCAACACCCTTTCCTTTTCACCTCTCATGGAAACTCACTTAGTATCCACCATGGCAGACCTCACAACACATCCATGGGTGTGAGAAAAAAAAAACAGATCTATTTAATGCATTGCTTTGCAGATTTTAATATTGAGAAAAGATTCTCATTGATTGAACACATTTACCACATTTAAATTAGTTCACCTCAATAAAGTCTTATAAAACATTTCAAATTCACCACGTATTGAAATTCATAGTCTAATATAAAAAAGTGACTGACAGCAGCCAGTGGCTTTTCAATCAGTGAAAAGGAAACAATCCCACAATGAAAATGGACACTTGTGAAAACAGCAACACAGTATGTAGCACAAATCCATGAAAATCCTCAGGAATTTGTCAACTGGCACTGTAAAATAGAAAATAACCAGCTTTTAAAAACACTTTTATTTATAGAATCCCTACAGTGTGGAAGCAGACCTTTTGGCCCAACAAGTCCGCACTGACCTTCAGAGCATCCCACCCAGACCCATCACCCTATAATCTACACATCCCTGAACACTACGGGCAATTTAGTATGGCCTATCCACCTAGCCTGCACATCTTTGGACTGTGGGAGGAAACCCACGCAGAAATGGAAAGAATGTGTAGGCTCCACACAGACAGTTGCCCAAGGGTGGATTCAAACCCAGGTCCCTGGTGCTGTAAGGCAGCAGTACTAACCACTGAGCCACCGTGCCACCAATCTTCAGTTTTCTTTTCAAAGGATTAGATTTTTAAATGCCTTGACAATCTTGACACATCCTTGTGACAGTTTGATAGTTTTTTGACAGCTTTGGTCATTCTTTAACTCCTTGACAGTCCCAATTAATTTATGAACTTTTGATGTGCAAACAGGTCGACCTTCACAATGCAAAGGGCACCTGACCTGTTCGTAAAGAGATACTCTACTTCTCTCAAAGGGTGCTTTACATCTCTAGAAGGATGCCTTACCTCTATCAAGGAGCAGCTTAACTCTCCCCACAGTGTCACAGAACTAGATCAAAAGGATCTACCTTACCTCTCCAACAATGTACCTTGGCCATGCAAATGAAGGCATGATTTCAGATCTGATGCTTCAGGTCTAAACCCTTCTTCAGAAATGGGGAAGGGGAAGGGAATTCTGAAATAAATAGGGAGAGAGGGGGAGGCGGATAGAAGATGGATAAAGGAGAAGATAGGTGGAGAGGAGACAGACAGGTCAAGGAGGCAGGGATGGAGCCAGTAAAGGTGAGTGTAGGTGGGGAGTTAGGGATGGGATCGGTTGGTCCAGGGAGGACGGACAGGTCAAGGAGGCGGGTTGAGGCTAGTCGGTAGGAGATGGGGGTGGGGCTTGAGGTGGGAGGAGTGGATAGGTGGGAGGACAGGTTAGGGAGACAGGTACAAGCTGGGCTGGTTTTGGGATGTGATCGGGGGAGAGGAGATTTTGAAGCTTGTGAAGTCCACATTGATACCATTGGGCTTTCCTGCTCCTCTGATGCTGCTTGGCCTGCTGTGTTCATCCGGCTCTACACCTTGTTATCTCAGATTCTCCAGCATCGGCAGTTCCTACTATCTCTGTAATGATTTCAGGTCTGCTCTTTACAGCTCCCGTCTGCACACCTTTGGTTTCAAATACCTATCTAACCAAAATTATACAGGACTACAGCAGTTAATACTTTAAATGGCCAGCTGACTATGTAAATTGATCATTCCTAAATTTTGAGCTGACTCTGTTCTAGTCTGTGAAATTATGAAGTATCATGTTCAGAGCAGGATTTAAGATTTACAGGTATGATTTGGAAAAACACCCAAGCCTCTGTATTTGGGTCTCACATTCTGCGAGAGAAAGTCAAACCAGCAGATGCACATATCTTTCACTATATGACCCTTCATATGCACCAACGATAGAAATTTTTAGCTGGGTGCTATTTGACTGGCCACTGTTAGATACTTGATATTTAAATCCATTGATTTCAGTGAACTTAAAATTGTACTAAAGGAGCTACTTCAGCACTAGCAGAGTTTACCTGTAGTATGACATTCAGAAATTATCTATCATAATAAATTGAACTAACTGAAATGAATGTAGGACCTTATTGGTCCAAAACCTTATTCCAATTATTAATCTTCTTTAAGTGTAATCAAATATTGGAATTTAAATTTTTTGATTTTCTTTCTGTGTCTCTCATTTTTTTGCCAGGTTTGTTTAATCGAAGCACTTGTTGCTTTTGGAACTTCAATCCTGGTGCTGGTCTGCATGCCTCACTTTGACATTATAACCAATTTGTATATTTTGAATGGTGTTTGCCTTCTTCCTGCTTTTCTGCAAGTAGTGTTTCAGCTGAAACCACTCAAATCTTCTATGTTGCTCCCATTGGTCGGCTTTGGCTTTGTTTTCCTGGGTCTCTTGCTTTTTATTTTAGCTCACAACCCACAGCAGCATTCAGAAGAGGTTAAACACATTAAACCGTACGTGGCCCTTGCAATAGTTGCCTTGATACTCGTATCTTTCAATTGGTGGGAAAATTTTATGTCGTACTGCAAAATTGGAATAATGGAAAATATAAGGGAAAACTTGCGATGCACCAGAAACATCACGTATGTTTGTATCAGTACAGTTCGAATTCTAGTTGTTGGTGCTGTAGTGGCAGCATGGATTCCAATGAAGCAATCTAAGTGGGAAGATGTAAAAACCGTTTCACAATTTGATCTAAAAATTATTTTGTGCCTGTTTGGAATACAGGGGATTTCTTCTGCTCTTTGCCACTGGTTTGGGGTTCTGGTGTGTAAAATGCATGCAGTCAGACGTAGCTTTGCTGTGCCTTCCATATTAGCCACACCAGTTGTGTTTTTTGCTTTTTTGATTGTGCTGTATGACAGCTTCAGTAAATATGGCAAAGCAGATACCTTTAACTTGACTGCCCTCTGCCACAATTTAAAAACCTCCAACAATAGTGATACTGTGCAAATTCTACTTTTAGAAATTCCTCGCAGCCTTTGCAGAGGGCAAGCAATATTAATTTCCAACAAAGTGGGCTTGGCACTGCTTGGCTCCTTGGCTGTATGCTTTTGGCTAGGGCTGATTTTCTCAACATTCTACGTGTGGGGCCAGCACATTCAAAGGATTGAAAGGACATCCCAGCTGTTTGTTCGACGACTGTATGAGGCAGCCTTCATGGAACAGTCAATGCTGCTTAACACACGGGTCCAGAAAAAGAATGAGACGAAGAATGAAAGGTAAAACCCTTATGTATTTTCTTCCTGATGTAAGCTCACTTAGCTTCACTGTTATCATTCTGTCTTTCTGCAGCATTTTTTCTCTTTTTGAATGACAAAACTATGTGCCAAGTGGAGAAACAAACTTGTTTCATTCACAGATGCTATTATCCTTTACCCCGAAGGAAATTAATTTGAACAATTGACAGCTAAGTCTGCAGAGCATTTCTGTGCAATGTAATGCTTGAAGAGCAGTACAATGAATGACCAATTACTCTGATTTTTGAAATGGCATTCTGTTCCTCAGCAAGTCAACAAAATCAACATGGCCTGATTTATTTGGGATGTAGGGTTGCCAACCATGCACAATTGGGCATGCAATCTCCATGATACTGCCATGCATGGCCCTGGAGTAAACACATACGGACAGGAAAGAAAATGTATTTTGTCATTTTCTTTGAACTGTCTTAGATTGTCGGGAAAAACCCATCTGGTTCAGTAATGTCCTCAGGAAAGGAATCTGCTGCCCTTACCTGGTTTGGCCTACATGTGACTCTAGATCCATAGCAATGTAGTTGTCCTTTGGGCAGTTAGGGATGGGCAATAAATGCTGGTCTAGCTAGTGACACCCACATCCTATGAATTAAAAAAACATCATTAGTGAGAATGTGCAATTGTCAGATACTAAACCTGTCTCAGCATAAAGCAAAATCTGGACAACATTTAGGTTTCAGCTGATACATAACATTTACAAGTAACATTTGTGTCACACAAGTGCCAGGCAATGACAACCCCCAGCAAGAGAGAATCTATCTCCCTTTGATGTTCAGTTGTTCAAATGCCCCTGCATCGCTATTACCCAATTCCCCACTCACAATATCCTAGGTTACCATCAATTAGAAACTGAACTGAATCAGCCATTTAATATTCTGACAACAAGAATAGGTCATAGGAATTCTGAGCTGAGTAACTCTCCTGTTGTCTCTCCAATGCATGTCTGCCATTTACAAGGCAAAAGTTAGGAATGTGATAGAATATTCTCCACTTCCCTGGTTGAGTGAGTCCAAGAAAACTCAAGAAGTTTAACACCATCCAGAACAAAACAGCCCACTTGACTGACACCCCGTCCACCACCTTTAGCAATTACTCCGTTTGCCACTGATACATAGTGGCAGAAGGTGTGAATTGTCTATAAGTTGTACTGTAGCAACTCACCAAGACTCCTTCAACAGCATCTTCTAAATTCATGACCTCTACCATATAGAAGAACAAGGTGCTTAGTGGTTAGCACTGCTGCCACACAGCTCCAGGAACCCAGGTTCAATTCCAGCCTCGAGCGACTGTCTATGTGAAGCTTGCACGTTTTCTCCATGTCGGTGTGCGTTTCCGCTGGGTGCTCCAGTTTCCTCCCACAGTCCAAAGATGAGCAGGCTAGGTGGATTGGCCATGTTAAATTGTCCACAGTGTCCAGAGATGCACGGGCTAGGTGGATTAGCTGTTGGAAATGCTGTGTTATAGGGATAGAGTAGGAAGATAGGTCTGGGTGGGATGCTGTTTGGAGGGGCATTGCAGACTCAATGAGCCAAATGGCCTGCTTCTACACTGTAGGCATTCTATGAACAATGATAGTAGATGCATGGGAAGTCCACCACCTGCACGTTCTCCTCCAAGAAGCATACTATCCTGACTTCAAACTTTATTGCTTCCTCTTCATTGTTGCTGGGTCAAAATCCTGAAACTTCCTTCCTGAACAGCTCTGTGGATAACCATATGACCCTATACTACAAGGACTGCCATAATTAAGTAGGTAGCTCACATTTACCTTCTTCATTGGCAGTTAGGGATAGGTAATAAATGGTGGCTGAACCATTTATGCCAACATCTCATGAACAAAATAAAAACAAATTCATCTAATCAAGTAATGACAGCTGTTCACAATCCACTTAATTTGGGAAGGCAGTATGATATGAAGACCAACTGGGCAGCTCAAGGGAGGAAAGGGATAGGCTGTTTGTAAAGAGGAGGTCATGTGATGTATCCTCCTGCCACATTCAACCTGACTTGATGAACCTGACTGTCAAAGGAATGGTAGGTATTTGAAAGTAAAATGCTCCTAATCTGGGGTCTTCCTTGGCTTCTTGCCATACCCCAATGCTTCTGATATGGAGGGCATCTTGACACAGTATCACTGCTAGCTGTAACATCTGAATGATGAGTATGTGCCGACACCCCACCCAGCTGACAGAAGACTCAAAATTCATGGGGAAATTTTATGAGGAGTAGAGGTGAACTGCTTTATTGGGTCTCCTATATTTTCTTCTTGAAATTTACACCTGCAGAGTAGTCATTCCCAAAATCTTGCTACCTGAAAATTTTCCAAGTAAATGAAATTTAAACTGTTTTACTTATATTTTAATTGACGCGTGTCATTAAACAGTCATAGTTACTGTAAATTCCTAGCATTGTACATTATTTAAATGATTTGGTATTAACAAAAAATGGAAATATTTTCTACAATAGAAAGTCGGACCATGTCATGATATATCTGTGTGCAACAATGTGGCATGAAACAGTGGACGAAATGGCAAAGATCCTTACTTCAGTATTCAGGTAAATCCAGGGGCACCAATTTATGTTATCGCTGACATCAAAGCCAGAATGGGAGTTTTCCTTAAAGTTGTTTAACCACATAAATTACTGTTCAACCATTTCATGTTTTGAATAGCAAAGCAATAATAACATTTCATTGTCCTCACTGTAGTTGTCTACGAAGGCTGTCATTTTGTATAGTGTCATGTTGCACAATATCAAAGCACTTCGCAAAGCTTTCCAAAAATTTCCACCTGGAGGATCGGGCTCACCAAGTGGAATGGCCTGCTCCTGTTCCCATTTCTAGTGGTCTTATGGCTTCTCTCCACTTTGATGCTGCAGTGGCAACCCTGTTAATGTGTTAATGCTTGGACTTTGATTCACCTGCTCCATATTCTAATGTTGTGGAATGTATTGGCATTACATTGGCCCAGATTGCTGCTCTGCTTAAACCTTTTTCTCTGACTCATGCTGCTGTACATTCCCAGCCTGGTCTTTTGAATCCAGCTGAAAGAAATAGGAGTTAATGGAAGTACTGGCTATAATCTTCCAATTCTCAGATATAGCAGGTGTGGGATGCTGCCAGAAGACTAGAAAATAACAAATATCCAAACAAGCGAGAAAGTGTAATCACAACAACTATGTGATAATGAAAACGCTTTTAAAACAATCTGAGACGAAATTAACAGTCACTTGGAACAAATTCAGATTAATTAATAAAGTCAGCAGAGATTTGTTAAATGCAAAACATGTTTAAGTAACTCACTGCTTGAGCTTCTTGTTACGGTAACAGACTTGTTGATTAGGGTAACGTAGTTGAAGCAACGTTTATGGTCTTTCAAAATGCATGTGATAAAGAACTATTTAATATACTTCACTGCAAGGTTGAATCCCATGGAATCAAAGGGACAGTGGAAGTGCAGGGACAAAGTAGACTGACAGGAGACAGAGTTATAGTCAATTGTTGGTTTTCAGACTGGAGAAAGGTAGACAGCGAAGTTTCCTAGGATTGGGACTTGTCTGATTTTTATAAATGACCTCAACTTGACTGTGCTGGACATAATTTCAATATTTGCAGCCAAACTGTGGAAACATTGTGCACTGTGAGGTAGGTAATGACAAACTTCAAGAAGTTACAGGAATGCTAGTGGAATAGGCAGACAGAATGAGCAGATGAAATTTAAGGTACAATGTGAAATAGTACATTTTGGTAGGAAGAACAAGGTGAGGCAATGTAGAATAAACACACTATTTTTAAAAAGGTGCTGGAATAGAGAGACCCAGGGTATATGTGCACATTTGGTAAGAGTCATTCAGGAGGCTGAATAACTTGTTATCAAACTTGAGGAAATCAAAGTTTTAATCTTTGCAAATAGAAGTATAGTAAACAAAATCAAGGAAGTTCTTATTAAACATTTTGGCCTCATCCAATGTTCACTATACAAGTCTGGGCATCACACATTAGAAAGGATATGAAGGCTTTAGACTGTATACAAAAACTATTTATGGCAATGGTTCCAGGGATGAGGAACTTTAATAACAAGGATTGATTAGAGAAGTTAGATTTGCTCTCCTTAAACAGGAGAAGTCTAAAACAAGCCATTATGGGAAGATTTGATATTCAAAATTATGATGGGTACAGGCAGAGTAGAGAAGGAGAAACTTTTCCTATTACCAGAAGGATCAATAAGTAAAGAACACAAATGTATGTAATTTGTAAAATATATACCTCAGGTCTCAACAGTCCTACACCCTTTTTAAAATCAGCAGAGAAAAACATAAGAACCAAAAAAATATAATTTTATTCAGCAAGTGTTTAGGATCTAGAAGATACTACTGGGTTATGTAGAGACAGATTCAATTAGGGATTACAAAAGAGAATTAGATGAGCACCTGGAAATAAAAAACTGCAAAACTACAGGACAATGGCTGGGAAATGGGATGAGCAGAGTTGCTGTTCGAGCGGACAGGCAGGACAGGACAAGCTGAATGGCCTCCTCTGCTGTAAGTATTCTACAGTTGGCAATCATAAAAAGGAAACATTCTAAAGCTGGGGCCCAGTTGTTGCCAAACTTCATCCATTTCCTGAAGATGCAATTTCTCATTTCTAAATGATACTTCATTTGTTTACCCAGCAAATTACTGAAAAATCTAACAAAACAAATTGTTCAGAATCGTGGGGCGTGATGTACTGAAGTCTAAACCAGTAACTTTCAAATTGGAAATCTCGCACTCAAAGTCGCATTGACATTTTTCTGAACTGCCTTATTGTAGTAAATTAAGATATTTTGGTTAAGATAATACATGATATAGTACCTATTGGCATCAGATCGTGACCGAACAGATGTTCCAGTAACTATTCCGACAATATACAGTTACCTATTTTGATACATCTGCAGCTAATTTATCCATTTATTTTTTAGGTTGGATAAATACAAACCAAACTCTTCAAAATCACATAAAGACAATTTTGAGTTTGAAGCACACATTTACTTTGATGATGCTTTTCATCTCACTAATCTTAATGACAATGTACAGGAAAGAGTTTTGAATCCATATGTTAAAAACCTTGTTTGCGTAATGGAAGATATTTACAGGTACTGGAATTATCTTGCATTCATCATTAATTCACGTGTATATATAAATAAATATCAATATCAACAAACCCCTGACTACATTCTACATTTTATGTTAAAAAATTAGCTTGGAAAGTAGATATAAAATATTGCAACATGTTTCAGGACTGTCTTTGACATTCTGTTATGTATGATGACACTAGTGACATGAAGTATCTGGTCAAGTGATTTCTATTCATGTCTGTACCCAAGTTGCCTAATGTCTAACTATGTGAGAGAGTTACCTCTTGGGGGTGGCATTCACACTATCTAGCAATCTACTTGATACTCTGTGTGGCCCATGTCAGCATATGCACAATTCTCTGCTCTTTCTGAAGATGAAATGACAGATTTTGAGGATCTTTAATATGCTTAATTTTATAGATGCCAGTAAACATACAAATTTCACTTATTTCAATAAGTATAAATTCTTTCTTTGAAAACATAAAAAAAATTACATTCCTGGCCCTAACATGTTTGTGAGCTGACTTACCTATCTTTTCTTTGTGAACATTTTCTAACTGCAAAAGCTGTCATCTCCCTAAAACTTGCTATTCATGGTCTAACTGTACCCCTTAGTCTTTATTTCCTATGTCCTGGCCAGTGATTCTAAGTTTCTCTCCTTTCACTGATTCACCAGTGAGTTTGTCACTACCTTTGTCTCATTTCCCTTTCTCCCTTGGATTACAATGTTAAAGAAAATGAAACAAGACCATCCTAACTATGGACCTAGACTATTATTATTTTTTGTTTGTTATTATGCATTATTATGTTTTTTCCAATTAGAAAGTGACCGTCTACAAAACAGGTTTAACACAAGCCTTCTATACTTCTTGCCTGTGTCATTTTTCAATCTCTGAAAATTTACTTAATTGTAAAACATACTTAAATATAACTTAATCTCAAATATTCTTAGTGAATAAAACCTAAACAAAACTGTATACTAGATACTACAATTCGAGGTAAGATGGTGGTGTAGTGGTAAAGTCACTGACCAGTAATGCTGAGACCGAGTCTAATGCTCTAGGACAGTTGATCAAATTTTACCAGAGCAGCTAGTGAATTTAAATTGAATTAGTTAATAAAAAATACAACCTGGAATTGAAAGCTAGTTTTAGTGATCGTGAATATAAAACTATAATTGATTGTTGTCCAGGTTCATTAATGTCCTTTAGGTATGAAATCTGTCATCTTTATTTAATCTGTCCTACATGTGACTACACAACTATAAAAAATGGTTGAGCCAGTTCAAGGGTGATGATGGACAACAAATGCTGGCCCAACCAGGGATGCCCACATCCCAAGAGAGAAATTAAACAAAAATTAAGATGTGCACTGAATGAAGACATTCATTTTATCAGCATACAGAAATTAATGAATTATAAGTAATAAATCATGCAAATATAAATTGAAATATAATTCAGAATTTTAGAAAATAAATACATTTATTCATTTAAAAGCTATATGAATTAATTGTTCAAGAAATATAACACTTGACTAACTATTATTCACTACTTTCTCATAGTATTTTATAATAATGACTCTTAGCTTTAGTAATTCAACTAAAGATTGGATCTCATAAATATGGCACGATAAGAATAAAATCTGTGAACCTTGCCTAGCCTTACACCAGTATCCATTTAAAAAAGAACATGTAATCATTGTTATACCATTGAAAAACTAAATGAATGGCATTAATGCATTGTATGTTTGGTCTGTTTCAAGAACAGTGGCAATTTCATTTTGCAAATTGTTTTTGTTTAATGAGGGCATTTTAATGATGAGGGGAGACCATTCATGAAGGTGTTTGTTTTAAGGAGCTGTGCAAACGTGCAGTTTCAACATTAAGACTGCTCCAATACCATATGTGATATTGTATATGTCTTCAAGAAGAAATGTCCAGTTATTTCTTTGGAATTGATCTTTTGTTGGCAGAATATTTTCACATGAAAAACAGACTTTGAAGGATGAACAAGAAGATGATGACACAGTGAAGCAAACCATAATGGAGACACCTTATGGTGGAAGAATCACATACACCCTTCCATATGGAAACATACTTTATGTTCATTTGAAAGACAAGCTGAAAATTCGGCACAAGAAGAGATGGTCTCAGGTATGTTTAACTAATGAATGTAGCATAAAATTAAAGTAGGACATGCAAATAGAAATTATTCCTACTAAATAGGAAACCTGAAAAATGATATTGCACAATGTTAAAAATAGGATTGTCTGGTGCTTTAAAGCTGCATTTCACATCACGCTGTGAAACTGTGTACCAGGCTCCCCTCAAGTGTTGTATTCCCTCCTATTCACATTATTGGATTTTTTTTACTTTATAAAAGGATGAGATATTCTTTGTGCAGAAAGTTAAGCCTGAAGCAGTTTAATAATTTCTACATCCCATGACATCCATGTTTTTATGTAACAGAGAGATATGTCAAAGAGAGTTCCTCACTCATGTAAACATAACATCAAATCTAAAAAGTACTTTCCAATCTAACTTGACCCAATAACTGGTCAACAACTGTAATTATACTGACAAGCCACTTCCTCTTTAACTCCATCTTGGTTCAACAATACAACACCATGACAGTTTTGTAGTGCATGTTGTAGAAGTTCTGAATTTCAGGGTGTGACTGTCACTTTGTAAGTCAAGAAAAATCATCTTAAACTTTTCATTTAGGAGTGTGTTGCTACTAACAAGAAAGTACCTTCTGGCAATAATAAGACATCTGCTGTATAATACTGCTGACAGTGTTTCACGAGCAATTCAGTTTAAGTATGTAGTTGTTCAGCTATTGTACTTAGCAGATATCATGGCTTACTGAGAAGTTGACAAAAATGTGTAAGTTTTGAGTAGATTTAGTTATTGTTTATAAAGTTCATAACCTCAAGGGATTGTAATTAGAACATGTAATACTCACATTTTACCAGCATGAAAGACATTAGTTCTGTTTGCCAATGTTAACTTTATTAAAGAACAAAGGACAATATAGCACAGGAACAGGCTCTTCGGTCCTCCAAGCCTGTGCCAACACATTTTGCCCTACCATACTAAAACTGTCTTCACTTACAGAATCTGTATCTCTCTATTCCCTTCTTATTCATGTATTCGTCCAGGTGCTTCTTGAATGCTGCTTTTATGTCTGTTTTCACCACCTCCTCTGGTAGCGCATTCCAGGCACTCACGACCCTTTGTGTGAAAAACATGCCTCGCACATCTCTTTAAAACTTTCTGCCCCGCACTTTGAACCTGTGTTCCCTAGTAGCTGATCCCTCCACCCTGGGAAAAAGCCTCATACTTTCCACTCTATCCATGCCATTCACAATCTTATAAACTTCTATCAGTTCACCTCTCAACCTCCAGTGTTCCATTGAAAACAAGCCCAGTCTATCCAAACTTTCTTCATGGCTAAAATTCCCCATACCGGGCAACATCCTGGTAAACCTTTTCTGTACCCTCTCCAAAGCATCCATCTCTTTCTAGGCTGTGTGATGACCAGAACTGTACACAATATTCCAAGTGTGGCCTAACTAAAGTTCTAAAAATTGTAGCATAACTTGCCGATCCTTATACTCAATGCCTCTTCCAATGAAGGCAAGCATGCCATAGGCCTTGCTTACTACTTTATCTAACTGTGCTGCCGCCTTCAGTGACCTGTGGACCTGCACATCCAGATCCTTCTGCATATCAATACTCCTAAGGGTTCTGCCATTTACTGTATAATGTTGACTAGTATTTGACCTTTCAAAATGCATCACTTCACATTTATTTGGATTAAACTCAATCTGCATCTTTCCAAAGATTGTATACTCTACATATTCTTTTGTGCGTCAGTATTCACCCAGGAGAAGGATATGGAGGGTAATGAAATTAGTGTGGAACATAGTAATATGCTAGGGCATTTTGAGATCAAGAAAGAAGTGGCATAGGGATCCTGAAAGAGCATCAAGGTGGATAAGACTCCAAGAACCAATGGTACCTACCCCAGGTTATTAAGAGAGGAGATTGCTGGGGCCTTGACCAAGATCTTTGTATCCTCGCTAGACACTGGAGAGGTCCCTGAGGACTGGTAAGTAGCTAATCTTCTGTTAAAGAAGGGAAACAAGGACGATCCAGGAAACTATAGATCGGTGGGTCTCACATCGGTGGTTGGGAAGCTATTGGAGAGAATTCTTAGGGATAGGATTGATGCACATTTGGAAAAGTATGACCTAATTAGGGACAGTCAGCATGGCTTTGTGCAGGGCATGCCATTGTCTTATTAACTTGATTGAATTTTTCAAGAAGTTTACAAAGGTGATTGATGTTAGAACAGTGGATATGGTCTACATGGATTTTAGTAAGGCTTGGTAAGGTGTTAGATTTGGAGGTAGGTGAGCACTTTGGTGATAGTGACCACAATTCGGTTACGTTTACTTTAGTGATGGAAAGTGATAGGTATATACCGCAGGGCAAGAGTTATAGCTGGGGGAAAGGCAATTATGAGGTGATTAGGCACGATTTAGGATGCATAGGATGGAGAAGGAAACTGCAGGAGCTGGGCACAATTGAAATGTGGAGCTTGTTCAAGGAACAGCTACTGCGTGTCCTTGAGAAGTAAGTACCTGTCAGGCAGGGAGGAAGTGGTCGAGCGAGGGAACCGTGGTTTACTAAAGAAGTTGAATCTCTTGTCAAGAGGAAGAAGGAGGCTTATGTAGAGATGAGGCGTGAAGGCTCAGTTAGGGCGCTTGAGAGTTACAAGTTAGCCAGGAAGGACCTAAAGAGAGAGCTAAGAAGAGCCAGGAGGGGACATGAGAAGTCTTTAGCAGGTAGGATCAAGGAAAACCCTAATGCTTTCTATAGGTATGTCAAGAATAAAAGAATGACTAGAGTAAGATTAGGGCCGGTCAAGGACAGTAGTGGGAACTTGTGCGTGGAGTCCGAAGAGATAGGAGAGGTGCTAAATGAATATTTTTCGTCAGTATTCACACAAGAAAAAGACAATGTTGTCAAGGAGAATACTGAGATACAGTCTATTAGACTAGATGGGATTGAGGTTCATAAGGAGGAGGTGTTAGCAATTCTGGAAAGTGTGAAAATAGATAAGTCCCCTGGGCCGGATGGGATTTATCCTAGGATTCTCTGGGAAGCTAGAGAGGAGATTGCAGAGCCTTTGGCTTTGATCTTTATGTCGTCATTGTCTTCAGGAATAGTGCCAGAAGACTGGAGACTAGCAAATGTTGTCCCCTTGTTCAAGAAGGGGAGTAGAGACAACCCTGGTAATTATAGACCAGTGAGCCTTACTTCGGTTGTGGGTAAAATGTTGGAAAGGATTATAAGAGATAGGATTTATAATCATCTAGAAAGGAATAATTTGATTAGGGATAGTCAACACAGTTTTGTGAAAGGTAGGTCGTGCCTCACAAACCTTATTGAGTTCTTTGAGAAGTTGACCAAACAGGTGGATGAGGGTAAAGCGGTTGATGTGGTGTATATGGATTTCAGTAAAGCGTTTGATAAGGTTCCCCATGGTAGGCTATTGCAGAAAATACGGAGGCATGGGATTGAGGGTGATTTAGCGGTTTGGATCAGAAATTGGCTAGCTGTAAGAAGACAGAGGGTGGTGGTTGATGGGAAATGTTCATCCTGGAGTTCAGTTACTAGTGGTGTACCTCAAGGATCTGTTTTGGGGCCACTGCTGTTTGTCATTTTTATAAATGACCTGGATGAGGGCGTAGAAGGATGGGTTAGTAAATTTGCGGATGACACCAAAGTCGGTGGAGTTGTGGATAGTGCGGAAGGATGTTGCAGGTTACAGAGGGACATAGATAAGCTGCAGAGCTGGGCTGAGAGGTGGCAAATGGAGTTTAATGCGGAAAAGTGTGAGGTGATTCACTTTGGAAGGAGTAACAGGAATACAGAGTACTGGGCTAATGGTAAGATTCTTGGTAGTGTGGATGAGCAGAGAGATCTCGGTGTCCATGTGCAATAGATCACTGAAAGTTGCCATCCAGGTTGATAGCGTTGTTAAGAAGGCGTACGGTATGTTAGGTTTTATTGGTAGAGGGATTGAGTTTCGGAGCCATGAGGTCATGTTGCAGCTGTACAAAACTCTGGTGCGGCCGCACTTGGAGTATTGCGTACAGTTCTGGTCACCGCATTATAGGAAGGATGTGGAAGCATTGGAAAGGGTGCAGAGGAGATTTACCAGGATGTTGCCTGGTATGGAGGGAAGGTCTTATGAGGAAAGGCTGAGGGTCTTGAGGCTGTTTTCGTTAGAGCGAAGAAGGTTAAGAGGTGACTTGATAGAGACATACAAGATGATCAGAGGATTAGATAGGGTGGACAGTGGAAGCCTTTTTCCTCAGATGGTGATGGCTCGCAAGAGGGGACATAGCTTTAAATTGAGGGGTGATAGATATAGGACAGATGTCAGAGGTAGGTTCTTTACTCAGAGAGTAGTAAGGGCGTGGAATGCCCTGCCTGCAAAAGTAGTAGATTCGCCAACTTTAAGGGCATTTAAATGGTCATTGGATAAACATATGGATGATAATGAAATAGTTTAGGTTAGATGGGCTTCAGATTGGTTTCACAGGTCGGCGCAACATTGAGGGCCGAAGGGCCTGTACTGCGCTGTAATCTATATTCTATGTTTGACAAGGTCCCTCATGGTAGGTTCATCCAGAAGATTAAGATGCATGGGATCCATGGCACCTTGGTCGCCTGGATTCAGAATGGACTTGCTCATAGAAAGCAGAGGGTAGTGGTGGAAGGGTGTTTTTCTGGTTGGAGGTCTGTGTCTAGTGGTGCCCTGCAGGGATCTGTACTGGGACCTCTGCTTGTGAGATATATTTATTATATGACTTGGATGAAAACTTAGATGGGTGAGTTAGTAAGTTTGCAGTTGACAGAAAGATCGGTAGAGTTGTGGATTGTATAGCAGGTAGTTAAATCATGGGCAGAGAAATGACAGATAGAATTTAATCCGGGTAAATGTGAGGTACTGCAATTTGGGAGATCAAACGTTAAGGAAAAGTAAGCAGTTAATGGCGGGATCCTGAACACTGTTGATGTACAGCGGGAAGTTCTGGTTCAAGCCCATAGCACCCTGAAAGTGGTCACACAAGTCGATGGAGTGGTAAAGAAGGCATATGGCACGCTTGCCTATATTCATCGGAGCATTGAGTACAACAGTCAGGATGTCATTTTGTAGCTTCATAAGACTTTGGTTAGGCCATACTTAAAATATTGCATTCAGTTCTGGTCACCACATTACAGGAAAGATGTAGAGGTTTTAGAGAGAGTGCAGAGGAAGTTTACCTGGATGCTGCCCGGATTAGAGGGTATGAGCAATAAGGAAAGGCTAGAAAAACTTGGGTTGTTTTCTCTGGAGTGGTAAAAGCTGAAGGGAGACTTGAAGGAAGTCTGTAAAATTATGAGTTGCATAGATAGGGTTGACGGTCAGAATCTTTGCCCCAGAGGTGAAATATCTAATCCAAGGGGAAATGCATTTAAGATGAGAGGGGGAAAAGTTCAAAGGAGATGTGAGGGGCAAGGTTTTTTTTTTTTACAGAGTGTGGTAGGAGTCTGGAACGCGCTGCCAGGGGTAGTGGTCGAGACAGACACAATAGAGATGTTTAAGGGACTTTTGATAAGCACGTGAACATGCAAAGATTAGAGGGATATAGACCAAGGGCAGGCAGAGGGGATTAGTTTAATTTGGCATCATGTTCAGCACAAAGAATCTGACAATGACCAGGAATCCATTGTTGATTGTCAGAAAAACCCATCTGGTTCACTAATGTCTCTTAGGGAAGGAAACTGCTATCCTTACCTGGTCTGGCCTACACGAGACTCCAGACTCACAGCTGTGATGACCCTTAACCTCTGGGCAATTAGGGACGGGCAGTAAATGCTGGCCTAGCCAACAATTCCCTCATCCTGCGAATGAATAAAAAAAAAATGTCAGCCAAAAGGCCTGTTCCTGTGCTGTACTGTTCTATATTGTACGTTCCACACACACAGTCACCTAAGGTTAGAATTAAACCCAAGTCCCTGGCGCTGTGAAGTAATAGTGCTAACCACTGAGCCACCTTGGTTGTAGAAAAACCTTAGTTATTTACTAATTCCCTTAAAGGCGCTTGAGATTAAAGTTGCCTTTTGCTGTCAATGTTCATGTATAGTGATGCTGTTTTGAAATTCCTGTTGCGGTCTCAGACACCAAAGGAGGTCTAAATCTGAAACCTAATGAGATAATTGAGATTCTCCAACATTAATTTAGATGGAAAAACAAAATGATCTCGAAAGCAACAGAGGAACTCGACATATTTATGAAGTGAGTGATGTATCAAAGACACGTGATTCAATTTTGTCACTTTAAAAGAGTCAAATAGCAAAGCTACAGCAATGATGGGTGATAATGCATGATTTAGCCTGCCCTGTATTTGCTAGCATTGTTTATTTACATATTACATATTTCTTTTCAGATCATGTACATGTATTATCTGCTGGGATGGAAATTAATTAAAAAGTACATGATCTTATCAGGCAAATTTGAAGATGAAATGTCTACTACAAATGCCTTAAAGGTAAATAATAGGACTTCCTTTCTAATGCCTCAAAATATAGATCTGTGATAGCAGTTTATAGATTGTGTTAGGGATGACTTTTAAATCTGAACAGTAGGCTTGAGTCAAGTGAGGTATTTTAACTGCAAAAACCTCAGTCTCGACTCCAAATGCTCTGCCGTATCGGGTTGGACAGTGACAGGACAAGGAACAGGTTGCCTGTCTGTTTCCAGAAGGTGTTGGTAATGAAGCTGGCAACTGTTAAACATTGGCCAGACAGGCTCCCCAGACCTCAGGAACCCTGTCATTTCAAAGCATAGGCGATTACATTTTAAGGGAGAAGTACCACAAGTGGAATATTTACCCTTGCTCCCAAGCATACTTTTTTCCTTTGGACCAACTTATGCCCAGCCAAATTCCCTGAGTTGGGTATTGAATCCATCCACACTCGTGCCACTTCCTGCGATTAGCAATCAAAACCCTCCTTGCCCCAAAGGTTTAATTTTCACATTGGTTGCGTCACTCAGCTGAGGGTAGGAATAGAATACCCTCAAACCAATCCACCTTTGACACACCATCTCTCTCAACCAACCACTGGAATATTTCCAGTAGCAGTGATATGCTTTATCCTACCTGAGAAGGCTCTCCACCCAAGTGGAAGTCATGCCTCATTCAAGTTGGCTTCTGGGATAGGATCCTTCTCATATGGAAAAGCAATTTTGTCCATCCTGTCTGAAATTCTACTTCCCATATCCCCTGCCTAACAAACTTAACCCAGTCCGATATTTTATTTATAAAATAGTAAATATAAATGTTATGTAAAAAGACTAAGCTCTTGTATGCTTCCATCGTACACAATAATTTTGAATTCTTCTATTGAAAAGCATCATAGATCTTATGTTCATTTTTGTATTAATTATGTTTAAAAGACAGAGAAGGAAAACACTTATATTTTGGCTTTGGACGGGGACACTGATTTCCAACCCTCAGCTTTGATCTTGTTAGTTGACAGGCTGAGAAGATATTCACATGTTGGGGCTGCATGTGGTAGAATACATCCAACTGGAACTGGTATGAAATTATATTTATCCTTCTCTATCAACCTTATTTATGCCACTTTACATGTTTGTCGTGTATGAAGATTATAGCACATAGAAATAGGCCCATTGGAGCATTTTGTCTGTACCAGTCATCGAGCATCTATCTACTCTAATCTATTTGCCAGCACTTAGCTCATGGCCTTGTATGCTACGTCATTTCAAGTGCTCATCTAAATAGTTCTTAAATGTCTTGAGGGTTCTGCCTCTATCATCCTTTTAGGCAGTGAGTTCCAGATAGCTACAACCCTCAAAGAAAAGATTTTACCTCAAATCCCCTCTAAACCACCTACTCCTTACCTTAAAACTGTGATCCCAGTTATTGACTCCTGTACCAAGCAGAAATACTTCTCCTTGTTACCCTGTCTGTGCCCCTCAGCACTTTGTATACCTCAACCAGATCCTCTTAGCCTTCTCTGCACCTCTTCTGGACCTGGAAATTTATCCACTTCCAGCCTGCTAAAACTGCTAATACCTACTTTCTCTCAATGTTATTTTGTTCTAAGTAAATCACAGCCACTCACGATGCATAAAACTCAGAGCCTAATAATAATATTAGGACATCTTTGTAATGCTCACAAAGCTATCAAAATAAGCAGTCATCCACTCAACCTCATTTAGAAAAAGTGTTCTTCTTTGGAGCTTATAAAACTATCAATGAAATATATTGCCTTTCAAACTCCATATGAAAAAGCACTCAAGTGATCATGAAGCTATCAAAATAAGGAAGTAACAGAGAAATTCTAAGAAGACATCATTGTTATTAAATGTTCATAAAACTGTCAATCAAACAATGTTCATAGGCCCCTTGAAATCTTTTCAATTAACCCTTGCTGGACTAAATCCAAGAGTTGGATTTGTAACTCAACCAACCATTCAAAATACGTTTCCATTGCACAGTTCTATACCCAAAACCCTCAGAGAAATAAAACACAGCTTTTAAAGTTATCTGAACAGGCGTCTAACATAGAATTTCAATCAGTGAAGCCAGAAAACTGTTCAATTTTTCAAAGGCTTAACAGATGTCTGGACTTTAAACCTAGGTGTAAATCAACGGATGGATTCTATGTGACATCTGATTCTGAACACAGTTGAATACATAAGTATCTTACTCACTGGAGAAAATATTCTATAGACTTTAACTACTTATACAATGCTGGCCATTCAATAGTCACTCATTGTTTAAGACCTTGATGATAAGTCAGTAGATTAAAAAAATATTTATTGTAGAGAATTATATTACAGCAGTTGAAGTTGGCAATACCTTGTAACATTTTAAGCACATGGAAGCCCCAAAGATCATGAAGCAAGGATTCTTTAGGCCACTGTCCTCAAATCTTTACAAACATGAAGGAAAATTAATGTCTTGGAAAACAAAGTATTTACATGGAAATAAACTTGCATTTCACATCAGATTGAGAAATCCTTTGTCTGTCTCTCCCTTTTTCCATGAAGTCTCTTTATAGAGGAAAGGGTGTAAGTGTCAGAAAGAGGCCTATGACATTTGAAATTAACAACACATTTTAAATGTATTTGTCAAAGGTTTCTGACTCCATATTGGGCTTCTCCCAAGGTTCAAGGGTTGACTGAACTGACGTGTTTCACAAAAGCTTCAAGAAACCATCTACCTCGCTGAAGCTCTCAAACTTACGAAAATTCAACTTTGAGGCAGACACTTAAAAAACATTGACCACAATGTTATCTTGAGTGCATGTCAGGTTGTGACTGGTGCACAGGTGGTTTCCTAGGTGACGTTTTACTGGCAGTGACAAATTAAGAGACCACCATTAGGATGCCATCCAACTGAGGATGGCAACCACTCGGAGTTGCTAGTCCAATCAGAGAGTTGGCAGCCTCAATATGGCTACAGATAAAAGTGAGCACCATTAAGACGATAGAAGGGAGAAGAGGAAGCCTCCATGTTTAGGCACGCTTGAAGGGCAGGTAGAATTTATTTTAATGTGCCAGAACTAGAACATGCAGAGGCCAGTGATTGGAAAGGTAACCCCTCTAATTGGCATCAATGGAACAGTGGTTGGTTGCCATTGGAGAGCCCTTCAAGGGGCTATAGAGCAGGCATTGACAAAACCCCCTCGGAAACTCATTGGGGTTCATGGTTTCACTTTAACAAGTGCCTCCAATTGGTGAATGGCTGTTATCACTGTCTCTCCTACTTAGGAATATACAGAAAGATGTAAGCCTTCTCTCTTAAAGTCATCTGCTCCAAGTTTGAAGCATCCTGTCGTGAATTGGTAGATTTCAGGCCAGAATTACCCTTGATTTTAAGTGGTCAACAGAAGAAGCAGAGTTTGATCAACGAAATATCCTTTCCTTACTCCATATTTTCCCATGTTAAATCATCTAATTTTGAAACTCAACAAATCTGTGCATAACAGTAAAATGTACATTTCCTCCCCCGCTTCCTCTCAAAGGTCCTATGGTCTGGTACCAGAAGTTTGAATATGCTGTTGGTCACTGGCTACAGAAGACAGCTGAACATGTGCTAGGCTGCGTACTGTGCAGTCCAGGATGCTTCAGTTTGTACAGGGCAGCAGCCCTAATGGATGATAATGTTGTGAAAAAATACACCACCAAAGCGACAGAAGGACAACATTTTATCCAATATGATCAAGGTAAACTCCTAATGCATGTTACTGGTGCCTGCTTCTACAGGTGATAGAGTTTCTACATAATGCTGGATTTACTTGAAATCTTTGTTGATCAAACGTCTGACAGACTAAAGTTTGAATATATTAAATGATCTAGTTTCCACTGCTTTCTGTGGAAGGCAATTCCAAAAGCAAACAATCTCTGAAAGAGAACTCATCTCCTGTTCACCTTAAATGGGAGAGGCCTTATTTTTAAATAGTGCACCCTAGTTCCAGATTCCACATTGGAGAAAATATTGTTTCAGCATCTACCCTTTTCAGATTCTTCAGAATCATAGATGTTTCAATATGATCTCCACTCCTTCTTTTAAACTTTAATGAGTATAGGCTCAAGCTGCTCAACCTTTCCTCATAAGATTAACCCCTTAGAATAGTGCGCAGCCAAGAGAACCTTCTCTGAACTGCTCCAAGTACAAGAATATTCCTCCTTCAGTATGGAGATCAAAGTCTTGTAGAATGCTCTGCTGTGGTCTTACCATTGCCCTGTGAAATTGTAGCAAGACTTTCCTTTTATATTCCATTCCCCTTGCAATATAAGTCACCTTTTCTTTTGCCTTCCTAATTACTTGATGGACACACAAGCCAACTTTTTGTGATTACTGGACAAAACACCCCGATCCCTCTGTACTACAGCATTTTGCATCCTCTCTTTGTTTGGATAATACTCTGCTTTTCTTTTCTTTCTGCCAATGTAGACTACAGCACATTTTCCAACATTATACTCCATATGCAATTTTTTTTGGTTAACACACTTGATCTATCTATATCCCTTTACAGACTCTTTGTATCTGCCTCACAACTTGCTTTCCTATCTATCTTTGTATCATCAGCAAATTCATCAACAATACAGTCTGATATCGATTGTAAACAGTTGAGTTTTCAGAACTGATTCCAACAGCATTTCACTAGTTATGATTTGCCAACCTGAACCTGTTAACCAACCCTTTATCCATGTTAATATACTACACCCAAAGCCATGAGTTCTTGCACAATTACCTCTTTGAGACATCTTGTCAAAGCTCTTTGGGAGTCCAAATACACTACAGCTACTGGTTCTGCTTTGTCTAGCCTGAATGGTACATCCACAAAGATCGCTAATAAATTTGTCACTCATGATTTCCTTTATATTATGCATGTTAAATTGGGCTGATTATAATTTGATGTTCCAAATGTTCTGCTATTTCTTCCTTATGAATAGATTTTAGAATGTTTCCAGTGGTTAGCACTGCTGCTTCACAGTGCCAGGGACCCAGGTTCAATTCCAGTGTCAGGTAACTGTCTGTATGGAGTTTGCACATTCTCCCCATGTCTGCATGGTTTCCTCTGGGTGGTCTGGTTTCTTACCAGAGCCTAAAGGTGTGCAGGTTAGGTTGATTGGCCATGCTAAATTGCCCATAATGTCCAGGGATATGAAGCTAAGGAGGATTAGCTATGGGAAGTGCAGAGTTATAGGATAGGAGGTGCGGGTGGGATGCTGTTTGGAGGGTTGGTGTGAATTCGATGGTTCGAATGGCCTGTTTCCACACAATAGTGATTCTATGACAGATGTGAGATGAACGAGTTTATGCAGTAGTTTTCTGCCTTGTGTCACCTTCCTATTTTGAATGGTGGTTTACAATTTGCTGGAAAATCTCAGTATCTAGGTATTTTTGGAAAAATATAATTAACACATCCAGTAGTTCTGCAGCCTTTAAGACCCTACAATACAGTCCATCACGTCAGAGGACTTGTTACTTTCTCCATTAGTTTTGTTATAAGCTCTTCCTTTTCTTTTGCATCATGATTTTATATTATTCTACTGTGAAGCCAAATGCAAAATAACCTGTTCAAAGTCTCTGATATTTTTTGCTTCCCATTGCTAATCTCCCAGTCTCATCCACTAAGGAGTCAATGTTTCTTCAGCCACTTGCTTTTTGTTTATTTACTTGTTGAAACTTTTACTGTCTGCTTTTATATTTCTTGGTAGCTTTCTTTCATATTCCAATTTGTCCCTTTTTGTAATCATTGTTTATAGGTTTCTAAAGTTTTCCAATCCTCTTGATTACTGCTATCTTTGCAACATCGCACTTCATTTCTTCCAATGGTGACACCATCTTCAACATTGTTGATGAACTATGAATAATGCATCCTTCTGATGGCATCTTTCTTTCTCAATAGATTCTATTTTGTTGAGTTACAAAATATCTCATTAAATGTCTACACCAGCTTCCCTTTTAGCCTACTTTTCAGTCCATCTCAGCCAACTTTGTTGTCATGTAATTGCCTTTATTTAAGTTTAAGTCAGTAGTTTCAGCGTCAAAGTCCTGTCCTTCAAATTGAATGTGAAATTCAGTCCTACGATCACTGTTAATTTGTACAATTAGTTTACACATACACTAATCATTATGTGCATGAATCGCCCTTAAGACAGGCATAATCCTTGCATGACAGATTTTCACATTTTTGGGTATTTCAAATGATTAATCTCAGTGTAATGGGCTAGAAGGCACCTTTAACAGTAACGTACACTTATCAACTCCAACAGGAGAAGACCGTTGGCTGTGTACATTATTACTACAACAGGGGTGGCGTGTAGAATATAATGCAGCTTCAGATGCCTATACAAATGCTCCACAGGAGTTCAAAGAATTCTACAATCAACGACGCCGTTGGGTGCCTTCAACTTTGGCAAATACAATCGATCTTTTAAACAGTGGAGCACAAACATCCAAGAGAAACCTCTCAATTTCAAAACTCTACATTCTGTATCAGATTATTGGAACAGCAGCATCAATTCTGGGTCCTGCCACTGTGGTTTTGATGATAGCAGGTGACTATGCTTTTCCATCTTATTGCAAAATTTTTTTGCCTTAACTTGGGATAACACACTGTAATCATAGATCTTATTTCATTTCTGCAACATTATCGTAAAATAGTATCAGTGCCACAGATGCATTAGTGATTGCATTTTGTTGCATACTGATGAAATGGCACAGACTTTTTTTTTGCCTCATGACTAGAGTACAGATGGTTGCATCAACATGAAGGTTGTGCAAACACACAGTTATCCCCTGGTGTATTCTGTCAGGATCTACCAAAACAATTATAAGCTGTTTTAGATGCCCATCAGGCCATCGCGTTCAGCTACTGAAATTACATCATGACAGTTTCTCATATTACTGTACAATCTCACAGTAAGATGTACGCCTTCAAATTGTCTAGCATTCAGAATCACACAAAACATTAGTTTTATTTTGGAAAACTATTTGGCAAACCTTGTTACAGTCTCCTCCATACAACTGAAGGTGAATTCAACAATTCATTTTGCAACTAGAGATATCATTTGTTGGGAAAGCAGATTGTCGACAAACCTGTCGTGCTGATTCCTCAGCCCTCTATCCCTAACAAAAGAGGTTCTCAACTGGTAATGCAGGATTGCTGAATGTTTTCAGTTTAACAGAAATTGAATATTGCTATGAAAAAGAAATGTGCTTTTGAAGCTTTTCAAATTGTACTCATGAGAACAGATTGAGGAGAATACTAAATTTCTGAAGGAACAACAATTTATATTGCATGAGAAAAAGCTGACTGGTTGCTAAATGGACTCTGGTTGGTTGAGGTGCTGCCATAGAAAATGACCCAAGGAAGTGTTGTCCCTCAAGCGTTTATTTAGTTGAAGTGACATGTTGTTTTACTTGAGAGAAGAGGGCCTTGCACCTGAACAGGTGTAGCTTCTAGCAGCTAATGTGAGTCCCATTGTGAACCTGGTCGATAATCTTGAATTGATTGCCAATGTAATTCTTAGCACACTCTGGATTGTTAAGTAAATGCTGCCCTTTTGCAGAATCACATCTAATGTTGGATCTATGGTTTTAGTTTTGCAAGCGTGACCTGAGTGAGGACTGTCCATACTTTACCTATTGGAAACAATCAGCAGGATATATTATTTGATATGATCTATGAGGACATATGACCTACATACACTGGCACCATATTGGCACTTATTATAGAAATTGCCTAATATACTGTGTGTTGTGTTGACACACTTCAAACTGAAACACAAAATAGTGTCATTTATATCTATCCTCATCACAGCCTTTCATTTTCATCCAACAAACAAAATACTTTTGCAGAAACCTTTTCATGCAGTCAGTGTCCACCAAATACTTAGTCAATAATTCCACTCATGCCATGTCATGTATCATGATACCACGCTTTCCGCATATTATGATGTGACCTTCTGAAGGCAACAGCTGATTCGCATTGCCAAAGTGATGTAAACCAGTTTACAACAACCGGAAGAAGTTTCACTGTACAGCAGCTATAACATAGAAAATAATCCAAATACATTTGCAAAGAAGAGAAAATGGACACCAAGCAGTGGAGAAGTCAAGGTTGGTCATCGAATATATAGGCAGAAAAGATTTTAGAATTCCTCCCATTTTGCTATCTCAATTTCTTTGGATGTGTAGTGAAATAGCTGTTTATTTTGAAACTATGGTGACTCAGCAGGAGTAACTTTGAACATATGCCTGACTGTGGTCTAACAAGTACATGTTGAAAAGATTATTGTTGCACAGTTCCTGATAGTCCTAATGAGTTAGGCATAGCAAGTGAATGTATAAGGTACCTATTGCTATCATACAATAAACTACCTTGTTATGTCAGACAAGTGCCTCTTTGTTTATTTTCACCAGTGGTCTGACCTCTACCACTGGACTCCGCATGGAGAAAGGAAAACTGGTGACAGTGAACCACTCAAACCAAAATATGACAGTCATCCTTCGTGATGAAAAACATAAATGTCTCCAAATATGTTATCTTAAATAATAATTACATTTAATTATATAAGGTTAGTGACAGAAAGCTTATAGGAAATTTTGTTTCTTTGTTGTATCCAATCTGAATAGTACAAAGTTCTTCATAATTTAATATAGGTAATCTTTTCTTATACAATATTTTACAGGAGCATTTACCTTTGTGTTTAACTGGAATGGAAATGTTGCTCTGGCCCTTGGAGTCATGCCTCCCGCCATCTACATACTGATCTGTTACAAAGTCAAATCAGATACCCAGATTATAATTGCTGCTGTGATGAGCATCTTTTATGCTTTTCTAATGATTGCCACAGTAATGTCCATTATTGGTAAGTGTTTCATGACCTACATTTTGAGAAATAAAATTATATTTACAGGAACTAATTTTATTGGTGCAAAACTTTGAAATGAATCATCTTAAAACATTGTAACATTGATTTCCTTGTGTAATAATTAATGCATGTCAATATGAATTACCAGTTTACAGATATGGGGTGACAGTCAAAGCATTTTTCAGTTGTCAGATTAGAAAATGAAGTAATGTAAAAATTCAATGCATAGTATTGAAGAACAAAGGAACAATGAGAGGTCATTGAGTCCTTGATTATATTCCAACATTCAGTTAGATCATGGGTCAAATCATAACATCTTGCATCTTAACTGCATTCAGTTGTCTTGGTTTCAAATTCTTGTGATTGATTAATAGTGCTCCAAATATCCTTTTTTCTCTTTTGAGTAATTAAGTAGTTTTTGGACCATCATAAATCAACAACCTATAAAAGCCTTACTTTTTCTGTATTTCCATCTATTTCATTTATTAAACATTCCTACTTTCAAGTTTATAGTAGAAACTCTTAATGAAAGGTTTAGTCCAATTAGCTTTTGCCTTTGAAACTTGATTCTCAGGAAATCTACACTTTGAATTTCACCTAAGGAGTTAAAATGATAGAGTTTGATCATTATGCTTAATAAATTATTGCCACATTATGTAACAACTGATGTTAATTGATATATGTATAGATATTTATGTTTAGAACACAGACACTTATACAGATACAGTACCATTATTCAACAAAATTAAAATGGTCAACTGTATTGTATAATATGAAGCAGCAGCATTAAAATGGATGTTGCAGGAGAGGTTCCAGCAATGGAGTTATCGCTGCTGAAAATCTGGCGTTTGTGCCATTCTAGGAATTATATTACAGCTGCACTTTTGAGACAGGTGAAACTTAATTCCAGATTTCTCAAATTTTACATAATTTTTTTTATCAGTTCATGCCTATCACTTTAAGACGAATAGAGCCACAAAAGAAGCAATCTTAGTGTTTAAATGTGGCGGGCTGGTACCATCTCTGTTTTACCTTACAGAAGTCTCTTATGTTCATATATATCTAATTAACATTCTTTTGTACTTCCCAGGCAGGGTCAGGTGCAATGGCTAGAATAACCATAAAGAAATTTGAATGTAGTTCTTTAGCCATGGATAAGGGCCAAAAGGATTAAAGTTCTTTTGTTTCCCAGCATTACACTTTGTTTTTTAGCTGTTATTTGAATGCAGGGAAGAGGATAATGTTCACATATATTCCAAACATGGATGCTGATATTGAATCAGAAACTCTGATATCTGTGTTCCTTTTAATATCATGGGTCAAATCTTCTGATCCCTGGACTGCTGCAGGGCGGGTATTGAGCTGAGTTATGTAATGGACACTGTAGAAGTTTATTATATTGCACTTTGTCAGAATTGTCTAGGCATTTCAATTTTGAATTGACATTTCCTTTGCTCCATAATATCATAATAATCTCTGACTCTGAACTGGAGACAAAGGGGCAGCACGGTGGCTCAGTGGTTAGCACTGCGGCCTCACAGCGCCAGGGCCTGGGTTCACTGCCACCTCGGGCAACTGTCTGTGTGGAGTTTGCACATTCTGCCTGTGTCTGCGTGGGTTTCCTCCGGGTGCTCCGGTTTCCTCCCACAGTCCAAAGATGTGCAGGCTAGGTGGATTGGCCATCCTAAATTACCCATAGTGTTCAGGGATGTGTAGATTATGTGGGTTTGGGGAATGGGTCTGGGTGGGATTCTCTGAGGGTCAGTGTAGACTTGTTGCGCCGGAGAGCCTGTTTCCACACTGTAGGGATTCTATTCTATTCTAAAGATTTTGGACTGTTCTAATATGCTTATCTGGATAGCTACCCAGAAAATTTAACTCTGATTAAAACGTAGTCTAACTCCTGGTCAAATGCACAACTTGTTTCAAAATTCACCTTAACCAACAGAGTAAGTTCTCGCAATGAGACTACCCCCCACCAACCCAACCTGACCTGAGTATACGCTCCCTGATTAATCCCCAAATCCCTCACTATGTCTCAAACTTAACCACCCTCCTGACATGACCTGACCTTCCAGACCTATCCTGTTTAACTGCTTAAACTGCCAAGGACACCAGACAACTAGGCCAAGATGAGATTATGGAATACTTGGAAATATAGGGCTGAGTTAGCGCAGCTTAGTCAATGAGAGGTCATGCTTGACAAAGCTGTTAGAATTTTTTGAGAAGTTAATGAGTAGGTTAGACAAAGGAGAGCGAGTGGATGTGATATATTTGGGTTTCCAGAAGGCCTTTTACAAGGTGCTGCACAGGTGGATGCTAAATGAGATAAGAGCCCGTGGTGTTAGGGGCAGAGTACTGGCATGGATTGAGGATGGGCTAACTGGCAGAGGCAGAGAGTCAAAATAATGTGGTCTTTTTCAGGATTGCAACTGGTGAGTAATGAAGTTCCGCAGGGGCCAGTGTTGGGTCCACAGCTATTCATCTTATACATTAAAGATCTGGATGAGGGAACTGAGGGCATTGTTGCTAAGTTTACAGATGATACAAAGGTACGTTGAGGGACAAGTAGTGTTGAGGCAGTGAGGAGGCTGCAGACCTTCTTAGATAGGCTAGGAGATTGGATAAAGAAATGGCAAACAGAATATAATGTGGGAAAATGTAAGGTTATGTACTTTGGTAGGAAGAATAGAAGTGTGGACTTTTTCTAAACAGGGAAGAGGTTTAGAAATCTGAAGCGCAAAAGGACGTAGAAGTCCTAGTTAAGCATTCTGTTAAGGTTAAAATGCAAGTTTAGTTGACAGTTAGGAACGTATATGCCATGTTAGCAACCATTGCAAGAGGGCTAGAATACAAGAGCAGAGATGCTAAAGTTGTACAAGGCTCTGGTCAGAACACATTTGGAATATTGTGAGCAGTTTTGAGCTCTCTATCTAGGGAAGAATATGCTGGCATTGGAGGGAGTCCAGAGGAGGTTTACAAGAATGATCCTGGGATGAAGGGCTTGTCATTGAGGAGTGGCTGAGGACTGTGGGTCTGTACTCGATGGAGTTTAGAAGGATGAGGGGGTATCTGATTGAAACTTACAGACTACTGAGAGGCTTGGATAGAGTGGAAGTGGAGAAGAGGTTTCCCCTAGTAGAAGAGACTGGGGCTGAAGGGCACAGTCTCAGATTCAGCCAGAGGGTGGTGAATCTGTGGAATTCATTGCCACAGAAGGCTGTGGAGGTCAAGTAATTGAGTGTATTTAAGGCAGCACTAGATAGGTGCTAGATTAATAATGATATCAAAGATTATGAGGAAGAGGCAGGAGTATGTGGTTGAGAAAGATATCAGACATGATTGAATGGCACAGCAGATTCCATGGGCTGAATGGCCTAATTCTGCTCTTATACCTTATGGTCCTATCCTTATCCAGTTAGCTGGGTTCAGAAGACCTGGTCATTGCCCCTGCATGGAAGATCAGGGACCACATTTCTATGGCAATTGGGTTTCAAAATGGATTCTTTTCTGATATGCTGAACAAACAAAGTAACATTGCTGGTAGAGTATTTGCATCATACTGAAAGTGAGAAGAGTTATTTTGTCAGTTTCCTACTTTTTTAAGATCCACATTCCTCCTTCTGACTCAAATCGGTAAAATCGATGGGACAAGAGTGAGTTAAAGGGACGATTTGGGTTTGAGACTCAGGTTACACCTTTGGAGAGAGCTCATCATGTTGTTATCTTTTGAGATCTAACAATATTTGTTGGTATATGTTTTGTATACAACCTGTTTAGAGACATTAGTACACAGACCTGGAGCAAGTGGTTCTTAAAGGCAGGAGACTGTCACTGCTCCAAAAGAGCCCTTAATTTACCTTTAAATATAATCAATTTTTAATTTGGATAAATGTGAGGTATTGCATTTTAGTAAAACAAACAAAGACAATACTTTTACAATTAAAACAAGGGCCTTGGGCAGTGTTGTAGGACCTAGAGATCTAGGGGTTCAGATACATAATTCTTTGAAGTTTGTATCACATATAGATAGAGTGGTTAAGAAGTGTTGAGCATGTTTACCTTCATTGATCAGACCTTTGAGTGTAGGAGTTGGGATCTTATGTTGAGGTTGTGCAGGATATTGGTGAGGTCTCTTCTGGAGTACTGTGTCCAGTCCTGGTCTCCTTCTAATAGTAATCATATTATTAGGCTGGAGAAGGTTCAGAAGAGATTTACTAGAATGTTGCTGGGATTGGAGGATTTCAGTTATAAGGAGAGGTTGGATAAGCTGGCACCTCATTCAATGGAGCGTAGGAGGTTGAGAGATGACCTTACAGAGGTTCATAAAACAATGAGGGGTATAGATAAAGTGAATGGCAGTGTCTTTTCCCTATAGAGGGGATTTCAAGACTAGGGGGTATATCTTTAAGGTGAGGAGAAAGATTTTAAAAAGACATGAGGGACAATTTTTTTACATAGAGAATGGTTTGTGTGTGGAATGAACTTCCAAAGGAAGCAGTGGATCTCGGTACAATTACTATGTTTAAAAGACATTTAAGTAAGTACATGAAAAAGAAATATTTAGAGGCTTATGGGCCAAGCAAAAGCAGGTTGGACTAATTTAGTTTGGGAGTATGGTTGGCCATGGGTTGGTTGGACCAAAAAGTCTGTTTCTGTGCTGTATGACTCTATACCTCTATACATCCTCCAAATATTCAAACTGTCTGGAGTAGATTTTTTTTTTGTGCTAATACCATTTTTTAAGTGTGTTGACAATTACTTATGTTCTACAGTCTTCCTATGCCTTTATTTGAGGGTGTAACCATATAAATATTTAATTACCAAACCAATGGGTGTGACTGTTAAAATTATTACCCTAAATGTCAAGGGAGCTTTCAATTAAGAAGAACAAAGTATTCACTATATTTAGGAAAGAGACTGTACAGGTGTCATTGCAGCAAGGGCACCAGTGAGTGACAAAGATAAAAACTTGGGGAAAAACACTAAACTCACATCAGCCCATTTCATGATTGCAAATGTATGTGTAACTTAGAAAATTGTGAGTGTGTTAGGAGAGGGGCGAAGACTTCAGAAAAGTTACAACACGGAAATTGACTGGAATCTTGCAGATGACACTGTTTCACATGCAGAGCCAGGATGAGCTGAGGATTTCTGTTTTGTCCATCAATTGCGCAGCGAATTCTGGATGCCCATCACCCTTGATGAAAAAGTTTTCTTCATGTCCCCTCAAATCCTTATACCTCCTCCAGTTCACTCTACCGCCTCCCTCCATCCCCTCTTCCTATTGCCCTCCATTCCCTCTCCCAGTTCACTCTCCTCATCCCCAATGCCCATCTACTTTATCCCATGCCCGTTCACTTTACCCCTCCCTCGTTCACTCAATCCCTTCCCCTGTTCACTCAACATGCCCCACTCTCCCCTTCCCCTCTTGATCTATCCCTTCCCTTGGTCTCTATACCCCTTCCCCATGCCTCTTCCCCCTCTACCTCACTGCTTTCACCTTTCTCCTCACAACTTCCACCTCCACTCTTTATCACAATCCCATTCTTTTTCCCCTACCCCATACTCCATTCTCCTGTTCCCCCCTTGACTCTACCCCTTCCTCATTTCACTACCCCTCCCCCTGCCCCCCTCTCCCCTCACCCGCTGCTCCCTCCCCTGGTGCACTTGCTCTAGCTCTGGGAACTGCTCCTTCAGCAGCTGCTGCACTTAATTCACTTTTCACACCTGTTTTAAGCTGACCTGTAAATGAACAAGTGGCATGCCTGCCTGAAACAGCTGTAGAACATTAAACACGCAAAGAGGGAACCCACATTGATTGTTGGACTCTGGCAAATTCAGGTATAAAATGAATGAAACAGGGCCACAGTAGTGATTCCTGAACTAAACAAGTGCTGTCACATGACAATAAAGTCATTCCCTTTTACACTTACTTGCTGCTTGTAGGTGGTTCTGACATAGACTCTTCCAAATTTTTATCAACTTGTTATGATTCTGCTCTGTGGTTATTATATCCCAAGATGGGACCTGACCAGCCCTCCTAGTAGAATGTTACAAGACTCTGAGTTTTTTGCATTGATGCTAATATCATATTATATCCTTTTCAGGTGAACTGGTGAAAGAAAACACCTTTATTACTCCGACAGGCTTGTTCTTCATCTCGATGATGATCCTTTACCTCTCAACAGCAATGTTACACCCCCAAGAATTCCCCCTTGTTTTTTATGGATTGTTGTACATCATTTGTATCCCCAGCGGATACTTGTTGTTACCAATATATTCCATGGTAAATATGAATAATGTTTCATGGGGCACACGTGAAACAGTCACTCCGAAAAAACGGGACAAAATTAACACTAAGCAGATTCTGCAATACGAAAAGAAATGCAAATGTATCTGTTGGGATATTGAATTTTTAATCAAAGAGGATAAAAAGGAATTAGTTCACCATGCAGACAGGTAAGCTTCTTTTCAAGTAATTTACAATATTCGACGTGTAGAAGTGCAGATTAACATTATCATCTACCTGTTCTATGTGTTGGTTTGTAATTTCCTTGTTTTGAACTAAGGGTTTAGTTATTGATTGTTGATTGATTTATTTTCTTTGGATTAAATTGGCCTCTCATATTGTGCCTTAAGTTTACAAGGATGGATGATATTAGGTTCTGAGAGAGAACTTAAGAGAACTCAGACTTTATAACAGGGCTCTGTATCAAATTCTTGCTCACCTATGGTTCTCTGGCTGGTTGGAGCTTCAGCTTTAGCTGGGCTTGAATTGTTAGGTGCTACCCAGATGCTGGAAGTTACAACATGAAGCTAGAATCTCTCCTTTTGGGGGCATAATTTCTGCTGCTTTTGTTTGGTTTTCATAGAGTAAGGCTGATGTTCTGATTCTTCTGTGGGATTACTTCAGGGATGTTTTTGCACAAAGGAAGCAAGATAATCCGGAAGGATGTGCAAGGAAGTCCCAGCTGGAAATGTCTCATTCCATGTCATTTTACAGCCATCCATGACTGTTCACACAGCAGTCTGTCTCCAAACATTCCTTACTCATAAATATCAGTGAAACTCACCGATTGCAGTACTTGAAATGTTTTCAGCTGAAATTCAGAATAATAATATGTTTCATTGCAGTTGCAAAGGATTAAGATTGTTTTTTTCACCAACAGCTGTTGTTTCATATGTACATCATCTGCATCACTTTGAAGCACGTAGCAAGAACTTGTGTTTTAACGAGGGGGAATTCTTTCCCACAATCTGTCTCACTGGAGCTGTGTAATGTGGGTGAAAATGACAAATTGTTGGAAGGTGGATGCTCGTCACTAAACAACAAAATCTATATAGACTAGACTGCTGCAGTTAAAAGATTTTCAGAAGGAACATATTCAATCAGACATATTTGATATGAGTTATTTTACAAAATTAGAAATAAAGTTATGATAATTTTGATCATAGTTATTAATTTTATACTATTAGAATCATGGGGTCCATAAAATTATTGAAGTATTTTTGACTATTTCTTTTGGTTTATTAGCTTATAATAGTTTGGGATTATAGCTTTAAATGTAGAACTAATGAAGCAGATTGTGTGATCTATGCTTGAGTCTGCCTAAAAATAGATCTGAGTGAGACAAACAGTTAATATTTTGAGTTGAAACACTAAATCTGCTCCTTTTCCACAGATGCTGCCAGACCTGCCGAGTTTCTCTTAATTTTTTGTTTTCATTTCAGATTTCCAGCATTCATAGTATTTTGCTTTTAATAATCTGAGTGGTTTAGTTGTTAGAGATCAAAGGGACAAATTATTTTATTGAGAAGATAGGTGCAAAGTATTTACGCTTGCAGACAAAAGTAATAGTTTCTAAATCCATGGTGAATTGACCTAAGTTAACCAAAGTCCTTGAGTTATTGTGCATCAGATTATAAACAGTTGTGGTATAAACTATTCCTTTACTTCTGAGATTAAAGGCAGTTTGCAGAGAGAATTGATTAGTATTTCTACCTAAATACAAAGTAATGTGTCTCCATGTTCCTTGGGAAAGAGGATAGGGGAAGCCATTTTAAGATCAGGTTCCAGACTTCCCTATAAAATCGGAATAGAACATAGAACATAGAACAGTACAGCACAATACAGGCCCTTCAGCCCACGACGTTGTGTCGAACTTTTACCCTAAACCTTAGGTCTATCTAACCTCCATCCCTACCTAAATGTTACAGACAAAGCAGGTTGTACTTTTGTCTTGGTAGCTGACTGAGCAGTAGTGGGCAAGAGGTAGAACCAATCAGTGTTGCGTTTTTTTGTAAAAGAAATACTGGCTTAAAATGTGATATCTTTGTGGCTCAGTGGTTAGCACTGCTGCCTCACAGCACCAGTGACCCGGGTTCAATTCCAGACTCGGGCAACTGTCTGTGTGGAGTTTGCGCGTTCTCCCTGTGTCTGTGTGGGTTTCCTCTGGGTGCTCCGGTTTCCTCCCACAGTCCAAAGGTGTGCAGGTTGGGTGGATTGGCCATGCTAAATTGCCCGTAGTGCCCAGGGATGTTTAGGTTAGGTGAGTTAGACATGGGAAATACAGGGGTAGGGGAATGAGTCTGGGTGGGATGCACATTGCCCATCTGAAGAGGACTTGTTGGACCGAATGGCTTGTTTCCACACTGTAGGGTTCTATGATTCTATAAAAGGTGAACAAGAGAGAGTTTTTTTTCTACAGTGAAATTCTGACTACTTATTCTAATTGTAAGCATGGAAAGGTTTAGCTTTTTCCCATGAACTAAGATGACAAACATAAACTTTCAGGATTCACAAAGGCAAATTCTTTCTGACATTGTTCCAATTAATATTCAGTTCAGGTGTACTAATAAGTGCCTCTATACAAATGAAACTTGAAACTCCTTCTCATTGCCAACATCAGTCTTTTCACCACATTTAGGAATGCAGGGCTTGATTTTAACCTATTCAAAACCCATCCCTTGTACAGCATCAAAATCAGGGACTGTCCATATTTTACCATTCTATTTTGTGCTGTGTTCTTGAGAGTTCTGGGTGTATCCCTGGAATATTTTGTCCCTGGAGAGATCCTGTCCTTTGATCTTTTTAATCAGAGCATCACATTTGATTCTAAAGATTGATTTACTTAACTTGTGGCTTTTTCTGTCTGGGCAGAATCTTCCTAGGCACTGAAAGAGATGGGCCATGGTGAGATGCGTGGTGGATCATAACGACGTTTGGCAAACCCCATCTCAATGTCAAAATCATCTCATTGCATCTTGTTTGCTTTTCTCAAGCTGCATGGAATTGGCGAGTTCCCAGTTGATAGTCTATTGCTTTTTAAATGCCTCATTAACAGTCCAGATCATCACAGCTTGCGAACCTACCAAACTCACCAAACAAACTAGTCATCCATATGGAAACCAGACTGGTTTTTAATCGGTTCATTTTGCTTACTGTCATAGCACTCACTCACTTTGAGCCCACCTAAATGCTGCCAGCATCCTTGCTTTGCATTGCCTTATCTTGCCTTTTTTGCAATTTGGCCCTAATCCAGAGGTGCTAGATTCATTCTGCTTCTGTGTTGTCTTGATATTTGGCGCACGCACAAGAAAGCTAATCACAGTTGTCAGTAGGCCTCAAGCCAAGGGATGTAGCCTTTGCTCAGGAGCTGCAGAAACTGTAGCCAAGGGCAGCATCCGATACCTGTCTAGGGGCTGAGACACAATCAGTCACTTGGGTGATCAGAGCCAGGATGGTCTCCGCATAAGAAATAAGAAGCTGATTATATTGAACAGACCACCAACCAGCTTGATGCTTTCTGCCCTTTTGGGGCCTCCTTTCCTTCTGGAATAAGACAGATGCATGTATTAAGGGAGATTAAAATTGGTGGTACAACTGTTATTTTTGGTGTAAGTGGGGAGGTGCTCCGAGCGAATGAGTAGGCAAAGCAGAGGATATGCAGGGTTAGTAATGTTAAGGGTTTGGGTGGGTCACAGTGTGTGAGGGAAGATGTTGCTGGCAAAGGTGAGTGGTGGAGCGTGAGCCTTAGTGGGAGGTGGACACAGTAGCAGAGCGAGTGTGAGGTTTCAGAAAGAAGATTGTGGCACTTATGCTGGCGGAGTAGATGAAGGCATTTACCTGATGTTCCTCCAGACAGCTGAGACTGCTTTAACCTGGGTGGCAGGAGCAGGTTGGCATGGTCTGGTGTCATGGCCTCCACTGCTGGTCCTGAGGGATGATGAAGTCCTACCTCTATCACCCCATCAAAGCACGGCATACATTTTTGCCCTGTCTACCAGTGCTTGTCCAGGAGTACATGGGCTTTTAAATATGGTGTCTGTGTCAGGAATTCTAGTCAAGTCCAGGAACTCCTGTGAGTAGTCAGTTGCACTGGGAGTGGCACATATAAGATGGGACGGAAATCAGACATGATATTCACCATAAAGGCTGATATGCCAATTAAAGAAACGAGTTTGATAGGATACTGCAAGTCGGCCTTGAGGTGAAAATTACTCCACCAAACTCAACCTAACTTGTTCTTGACCAAAAATGTAAGATAAAGCCACATATACTTTATATTTCCAGGCTCATTATATTGTTTAATATTCTATATTTGAACTTGATCAATTAAAAAAAGCTTTTCTTTCCTTCAGTACAATTGAAGAAGAAGAAATAATGGAACCACGAATTGAAGACAGTGAGTATTAAGATGATAATTAATTGGCAATCTTGTCCAGAAATATATGTCCAATACAATCATATCCAATATTAGTATTGCAGGATTTTCTTTAGGCCGGAACTATTTGCTTCCAATTTTCTGCTGCTTCTTGTAAACACTGAATCATGGTGCTTTACTGTTGCAGCTGTGGCACAGCCTTTTTATTACTGTGGCCAAGTATCCTTTTGATCTTTCAGTCAAGACATTTAGTGGCAGTAGGTCATACAGAATTCAAGTTTACCCAGTGTTCACATTGCATACCTGTAAGCCATATTGGAACAGCAGTTGGCCATTCAGCTCCCTCAAGCCTCTCAACCATTCAATTAGCTGATAGCTGATCCATATCTTAGCTTGATTTAGCTACCATGGTTTGATATTCTAAAACCCATCTGAACAATGCAACCCTAGAACATGTGGCACCCCCTCAATGCTGCAGTAGAGTCAGGCTGGATTGGAGTTCAAAAACCTTATCCAACCAGCATCTATCAAACTTAGTTTTGACATTTTCAATTGATCTAACTTCAAATCTTTCTTGAGAGAGAGAACAAGTGAGTGAGAGATTTCTGCTATTTTCATTTGAAAACTCATTTTGTGACATCTTGAATGGCTTAGCTCTATTTATAAAATTATATCCTTTGTTCTGGGCTCCCTCATTTTTCCAGGAGGACAGATGATAGTTTGTGACTGGGATCAAGAGGGTCCATCTGTACATTTTAGCATAAAACACAAAACTTCAGCAAATACACATTTAAGATCTCTCAAAAACAAACTAAGATTATTGGTCTTTCAGAGATAGTAGGAACTGCAGATGCTGGAGAATCTGAGA